TTCCGGTAGGATTAGTTTCAAGGTCCTTTTGTTTATATTTCGATATATACGTATATATATATATATATATATATATATATATATATATATATATAATTCTATCTTAATAAATCACGCATACGTGCACACATCCCTCACATGTTCTTTTTTCTCTCTCATACGTACACTCTTTCTCTTTCTCTCTCTTTCAGTCTATCTGTACAATATAATCAGGTGCAAAAAGAAAATTAGCAATAACTTTGTGCACCTCGTATTATTTTAAAAGCCGATATAAAATTCGACGGAATTTTTTTCATCAGAGAAAAGTGTTGTTGTTGTTGTTGTTGTTATTGTTGTTATTTTTGTTGTAGTTGTTGTTGTTATTTCCAAAATATATATATATATATATATATATATTTCATTAGAACATATTCATATATACGAGTCGGTAATTATGAAAATGATTTAAATAATATAATATATGACAATTTTCGAATTACGTAAAAGAATAATTTTAGGTATTTTTTTTTAATTAAATACACTAAAGTAGAAAAAAATCATTCTAAGAGATAATTAATAATATAATACTTTCACAATCACCATCTCATATATATATACATACTCATGTACATACATACATATCCATATAATATATGATATATATATATATGAGTGTATTCTTAGATGGAAAAACATTACTCTATAAGAGACTTACATATAATTTTCTAATTATACATCGCACTTTTCAGCCGTTCACATATTTTCTTTGTTTAATTTCACTTCTTTTTGTTTTCTTGTTTACAAGATAGTCATCAAGGAACACTACAGATTGTACTTCGTTAAATCATCGGTAATAAACGTTGATCCGGATTTTTGTTGAGTCGTTGTCATGCTTTCTCAAATATATATATATAATCGTCCTATATATATATCATTTAAATTTCTGTATTATTTTGTATTTGTTTTTACCGCTGCATTAATAGCGAGGAGGTGTGAGTTCACGAGACACAATCTCGAATAGATTTATGTAAGTAATTTGTAAGTATATCGTCGTAGTGATGACTAAAAAAATGCAAGTATTATTATTATTATATGTATCTCGGTTAATTCGTTGCGTTTACATTACGATCGACTACACAATCGATTACACGACCGACTTGCTATACTTTTGTTTCTTTTCTCTCCTTGCTTTTTACCAAGATTAATTCCTGTTCGACACTGCGTGAACTAAACAAAACAAATACCTATTATTTAACATAAAAATCATACAATAATATATATAACACAAGTCTTAAATTAAAAAAACAAGAAAATCATTTATTCGCATTAATTCTTTTTGTCTTCAAATGTCTTATATGTATCTGATAATCTAAAACGGCACTTCAAACTTAGAAAACGAATTTAGTTATTAAATGTATATATATATTTTTCTCTCTCGATTGATTTATTAATATTAATGATGAAATGTGAAATATATACGCTGCCAAAATACAATTATACCTAGTTGCAAAATCTAAAATATATAAATGATACGCCAATTATAAATTTAAGATATTAAATTAAAATTGATTAAATTATATAACTTAATATAAATGATATCATTTCAATTGTCCTATGCTGAAATTCGTCATTGCTCTCACTGGCAACTTATATCTTTAAAGAATATATAAAGGAACAAACGAATCTATCATTTTCTTATACTATAACAAACACTGAAAGGGTATATATATTTCATTTTTATCATCATTCCGCTCGTAATGGATATCTACAAAAGATGAGAAGAAACCAAGAAAAAATAAGCAAAAACAAGAAATTAACAAATTCTAACTATTGATATATCGAACGCGATACAATCTAATAATAAAAGTAATTATCTCTACTGTGACGAATCTTCAATATTTAAAAAGAAATTAAAGATAAAAGCTCAACCCTGATTTACACCTAACAAAAATTTAAAAAAAAAAAAAAAGAAAAGAAACAAAAAAATAATTAATAAAATAATCACAGTTGTTGGTGTAAAATATTACACCAACAAATTATATATATATATATAACGACTAGCGTGCAATTATATGATTCTGTCTCTTTTATCTCTTCACCACTCGCAGCTTATATCCAGATAATGTACAATAACCTGCAGTGTATGTGTGTATCTGTATATACGTGTGTTGTGTGTGATATATATCGATAGATTATAATCACAAAGGACATCATTTGATAATCGATTGATACAATAATAATAATAATAATAGAATAATGATAGTATGATAATAATAATCGTAATAATAATAATATAATAATAATAGTAATATAATTAATAATAATAATAATAATAATAATAATAAATCATCGTATGATTCTCTTGAGCTTTGTCAACGATTGAAAACACGCTAGTAGGTCTTGACGAAGGATGAAGTTTCGTGGATATTAGCTTCGGTATCGGTCCCATGGTATGCCTGAGATTGAGAAAGGGAAAGAAGTGCATCCAATCCTAAAGATTCAGCCAGGGAATCTGGCCCTCTCGACTACACAATGCGTTTGTGACGCACACATAAAAAAAGAAACAGAAAAAACGAACGATTCGCTCTAGAGCAATGATCAACTGACTATAATCTAGAAGAAAAAAAAGAAAAAGAAAGGGGGGGGGGAGCGAAAATGTGAATTAACATAATGATATAACATAATGATTCGATACGAAAGCACAAAGATATATATAAATTTTATTCGTTTAACTTAAATTTCTTTAAGCCATTTACATTGATCTGATAAAAACAAATCAATAAATAAATTATTCGATTAATCAAATTGAAAAAATTAATAAATAAAAATATAATGTAGAAAATAAAACACCATTTGAGGACAAGAAACATTAATGAAAATAAAACTGCAAAGAAGCAAAGTGAAGTTTGACTACACCATAGATTTGAAAAAAAAATTCTGTCGTCTCTTTGTAATCAACTTACCGTGGAATTTTGATCTGTCTCTTTGCAATTACTGCAAATGTAATCGTCTTCTTCGGCGATTTCTGTTCTATCAAGACCAACGCAATGCATGTGAAACCAACCTTCGCATCCCCCATCGCATTGGACCCAATCTACTTCCCTACCTACAATTTTGTTTTCATTTGCGTTAAAATAGAAAACAGTTAGCAATATAATAATGTTAAATAAATAAATTATCGATATATTCTTACCACTGGGATGTAAGCAATTAACTGCAGCACAATCTTCTTCCTCATCCGAGGTGTCCTGTTTGGTTTTTTTTCTATTCCCTCCTCTTTTCTTTGGACCTTCCTCTCCTTCTTTTCGTTTCATCTAGAACCAAAATTATACTGAAATCGAGCTAGCCAATGTTCACAAAATTGTATTTACATATGACACTATCCTTAGATTATCTTTTCGAATTGAAACTTCGCTTGGAATATATTTGTAAAAAAAAAAAAATATCTAAATAATCGATTAATTGAATTTTCGCAACAAAAAAAATTGAAGCTTTAATTCGAGATAGATATATATATAAAATATTTGTATCTATGAATACCTTCCGTGGGCCACGTTTTATTGGCACAGGTGAACAAGCTGATTTTTTCTCTTTTATCAATCCTTTACGTTTAACCGAACTTTTGTCATCGACTTTTTGCTTTCCAAGTTTCTTTAATAATTCAAATTCTTCGGATTTCCTTTTCCTACCACGTTTTTTAGCATCCTTGGATTCTTGATTGCAATTAGTTTGAATTTCTTCGAGTGCCGCGTACTTTCTAATAGTACTTGGACTATTGGTATGACTTAAAATACGCCAAATATGTTGTGTCTCGTCTAATGCAACTTCTAATAAGTCTCCTTCCATCATTAATTCTTCTAAGTGTTGCCTGGCATTGTGCGACAAGATTACGGCTGTTTCTGAGGAATCACTTGATTGAGATTTACGTTGATGTTTAGAAACTAAAATTAATAATACAACAAATCACATAGGAAATAATTCATAGAATATTTATCTTGTATAAACTCATACATAAATGGAAAAGAAAAAAACTTACTGTAAGAGTAGGCATGTTCATTACTATTAAAGGTACTACATGTTGGTTCATCGTCATCAATCGTAACGACATCGTCATCGTCATCCTAAACAATTATTTACATTAAATAGATAGAAAAGGAAAACAAAACAAAAATAAGGAAATAGAAAAGAACAATGTACTCACAGCTGTGCTAAGCACACTATCGTCCGAATGAACACCGCTAAGAGGTGCGATAGCTTGTACTCTTTGATGCAATTCTGGATTATTAGCTGCTTTTTTCAATTCGCTGCTAATAATTTTTTCTGTTTTTTCTCTGGCAGCAGCTTCAACTAATTGTTGCGATAACGCAGATAACGTTTTCAATGCCAAAGAAATTTCTTCTGTCGCTAAAGCTTGTCTAGCACGATCCTGCCAGTTCATTGCTCGTTCTGTTAGACACTGCAACGCTTCACCTTCGGGTAAACGTATGGGGATCTTTTGAAGACTAACTAAAAGGGCTAAAATAGTTTCCAAACGTGGTCTTCTTGAACGTAAACAACATGGACATAAAAATTTAACTTCTCTCGAGATCGGCACTTTGCCTTTATAGGTTGTTTTAGGTAATGGCACACAATTAGAATGAAACCAATCTTTACATAGCTCACACTGAAGCATAAGTCCATATCTTATTCTACGACATACACAATATTTAGAATCATCCTCTTCAGCTTTAGATACATTTTTGTCCCTTAATTTTCTCATTGCATCCATCTCACGTTGTTCGGCTAATTTGAAAGCAGCTACCACGGTCGCCGAATTATTCGAATCATCGAGTTTTGTATCACAAACGAACACAGCACCGACGGATTCGTCACCTTTATTTTTCTTAGTCTTCATAGCTTGAACGCCAACTCCGACACGTGGGGACAAAGCTTCCATCAACGTATAATGGGAATTTTTCCTTAGGAATGTCCTTACTGTTCTTTCTTTCCAAGTTTTAGCTAGAGAAAGCGTCGACTCTAACATTGAAAGTGCATCCAATTGTAATGGAATACTCCTACCTTTCCTAATTATTTCATCTAACGTATCGTAATATGGAAAGTTTTCTTTAGCTTGAATCTCTTCTACCATGTTTGACCAATTCTTTGCTCGTCCTAATATATCTTGTAACGTATCTAAACTTGGGAGATAAGCTTCGACTTCGTCGGCTTCGTGAACAAATTCTTCAACCGCTGAAACAGTTGGCCTGTTTCTTGCATTCAAATACATTTTCGCTTTTTCTTCCCACTTATCGATCGCAGTCATCAACGTTCGTAATTCGGACAAAGTATTTTCGATTTTAAAATGCGGAGGTATCGTCGTTCCTTTTTCTATTAATCTTTCTAAATCCACACGACTTATGGATTTTGGATCTTCTTGAAGGGATTTTATTTCTTCTAACCATTGCATTTGTGCTAATTTCTGCACACACAAACACACACAAATAAAGAATACAATTTATAAGTAAAGTTATACTTTTAAATTAACTTCATCAAAAAAATCCAAATTTAGTTACCTGTTTTAAGCGTACAAGTTGCGGTAACTCAATACATATGGAATCCCCAAATTCTATACACATTTCTAGTTTAGAAATATTACAATCATTTTCCGTAGACTCCAAGTATTCAGCATCGCTTTGAAATGACAATACCTGATTCAATATAAACTTTACACCATTGGATTCTTCTAATTCGCAACGTAAGCTTCTTATTTCTTTATAAAATAATGTCAATTCTTCCACAGTTAATTTGTATTTTGTTTCGACGGATTGTCTGGTCCTTGATAAGGAAAAAGAAAAGATAAAATAACAAGAATAATCCAAGAAAGGCATTTGATAAATTGTACGGTAAATATACTATGCATTTAATAAATGTAAACACTGACCTTGTACGTTGTTTATTGTTCAATAGCTGTTGCGCGACGCTTGCACACTTTTCTGCATCTTGTACAGCCGTTGTCAAAGCTGTTAACAATTCACTATCAGGAAACTTCTTGTTTTCTGCTTCATTCAAAAGTTCTTTCAACTCGCTAAGTTCAACTTTGGGTTTCTTTGGATCCATGGCTTCTTTAACTTTAGTTACCCAAGAGTCGAAAGACTCTGCTTTCAATTTTAACTTTTGTAACATGATGGGCAATTCGTCTAATGTGTAACGATAGCGTAAAGTATGTTTCTCCGGAGGGCAATCACAAAGATCCGTAAAATGTCTTAAACAAACTAACTGAGAATTGTGACACGAACATGTAACTGCACTTAAAAAACAAGTTGTTTTACAAGCTTCACACTGTCTCTCATCATCTGGTAATAACTCAAAAGCTTCCCGTTCTGCCTCCGTAACACCCTATAAAGAAGGAAATAATTTTGTTGGTTTTAAATATCTATCAGATATTCAGGAAACTAGTAGAACGTATTTAACTTTAGAAAAATAAAGAATAAATCTTAGTAACATTGAACATGAACAAAACATATGTATCCATCTGTAGTAATATTTATGGTAGAATATCAAAGAAATACATGATCGCGTAATTTCCAAAAACTTGGAAACGTGTCAAGCGTGGATTAACGAACTTAACCGACTTGCAATAAAATAATAGATAATAAAAATTGCGTGTACAATGTACCGTGGCAAAACACTGAAACCATAACCTCTACTCACCAATGAAAGTTACATAATCAAGAATTATAGGCACAAAAAATAAAAAGGGAAGAAAAACTTTAATATAATTGAAAAAGAACCATAGAAAAATTACTTTAATGCTAATAATCACGTTTGAAATTAATAACTATAATTCTAATACGCAATAGCATTAATATCAATTATAACGTGGACGGTGTAGGATTTTGATGCGATCTCGAATGGTGGCAGTATCAACGCGCGCGCACGGACACTACCTTATCCGCATGTATTCGTACACGCGTTTGTTAGAAACTGCTGAGTGGTGAAGCGAACGCCGCCGAACAGAACCCCCCAACCCGCACCGCGCCATCACGAAACCAACCGGAACCCCCCCCCCCCCCTACACACCCCCGACTGTCGCGAGCGCTCTCTTGGCATTTGAAATACTACTTGATCCGAATACATAAGCCATCCTCCTACAATAAACCTATTAACCGTTTAACTTAAATTCACTTAATTCTGGATAAAACAGACAGCATATTGCACCATCCTAACTTCGAATTGTGTCGAATGCGAAAATAATATAAAAGAAGAGAAATTGTAAAAGTGAATCAAACAGTTTTTATGATCCTACAAAAATGATGATATTTTTAAACATATCATGCAATTTGGTCTCATTTTATTTGATATCCTCCTTCTATCCAAACTATTTTTTTTGTTAATAAATGAATTATACTTGAAAATATAAATTGTTTCTGTGAATAAATTATATATGAATAGTTAATGAAAATGAATGTAATGAGTTAACATATTACAATACATTTTTTTCTTTA